ACTTGTGGCTACTATGAAGAAAGGAGGGAAAAGAACATGGGACGTAGAGTCCAGAATCCTGAGATCATTAGATTTGAAGCTTGAAGGATCGTAGGGACCAATTTGTCCTTTCTTATATTACAGATGAGAAAACCGGGGAGAAGTCAAGTGACTCTACTAAGGTAACACAAATAGTAATTTGCAAGATTCAAAAATGTTCCTTGACTCTCAAACAAGTGTTCTTTCCATAGTACCACCCCAGCCCTCTCTGTGCTCTACATTTCATAGCTGGATGACCTTGGACAAGTCATCTTCAATTCTTTGGAACCCAAGAATTGAGAGAAAAAAAAAAAACCACAATAACACTCTTTCCATTTGAGGCTGTTTCTTTTACCATACCTAGGAGATAAGTTTCTCTTGGCCATGTTTATTTGTTCACCACTCACCAGACTTAAGAGAACCTCTTTTTAAAGTTATTATTATTATTGTTATTATTATTATTTTGCAAGGGAAGGAATCTCTTCCTCAGGTTGTCCTAGTCACACTTAATGAGGTTTTAATGAGTTATGAATGAGATGAGTCTAAGATGTATGATCCCTTTATGAAGTGCAAACCTCTTTGATTCAGGTCAAAAAGGAAATATCTTCTTTGGCTGAGCAAACAAGCTGGTTACTTCCCTGAGGGCTCTAAATGTTTGGATGATTTTTAGTAGTTTCAGTTCCAGAGTTGATGAACATCAGCTCAGGAGTGCTTGACGGGGAAGACGCCTAGAGTGGGGTGGGGAAGAGGGGCCTTTCTCTCCTTCCCTCCTGTCATTGGAGCAACTGGACCAGTAAGAGACAATGCATTCATCTGGGAACAGAGACATACGTACACCCAACGAAAGGTCAGCCACAGCTACAAAGAGATGGTCACTCAAGGGAGGAAGCATCTTCACTGAACTTTTGAAATTTCAAGGTTCTTTCAAGTCTTGTCCAAGAACCTTAACTTTACGTGGACTTTGATCCCAAAACTGGAGACATCTCAAGCCACAATAACCAAAAAGCAAAATGGTATAACCTCCCATTTCTAGACTGTTTTGTATGAGTATTATTGTCCCCATTTTACAGATGAGAAAACTGAGGACTAAGAGGGGAAATGATTTATCCTTCATCACACTACTAGAATTAGGATTGGATATGTATTCAATTCTGGCAGCTAGGAGGTATAGTGGTTAGAATACCAGACCTAGAGTAAGAAAAACTCATCTTCCTCAGTTAAAATCTGGCCTTAGACACTTACTAGTTGCGTGACCCTGGGCAAGTCACTTAACCCTGTTTGCCTCAGTTTCCTCATCTGTAAAATGAGCTGGAGAAGAAAATGGCAAACTACTTCAATATTTTTGCTAAGAAAACCCAAAAGGGGTCCTGAAGAATTGGACACAACTGAAAAACGATTAAACAACAATGAAAAATACTCCAACAAAAATACTCCAATATTCCAAGTCTAAAACTCTTTCTGCTATACCATGTTGCTCAGTATTTGTTTGAAATAGGCTGTTCAAGGGCATGTGATAAGTATCACAGTGTAATGGAGTGTGGTATATGTCCAGACAACCTAAAACAGTGTCATCCATGAGGAAGATATTTGGGACCTACACCTATGGGAACTGGTGCTTGAGAGCAGCCTTTTTCCATTGACTGTATAACCAGAAATGTCTGTGCACCCAAGAATGACCTCTTTCTTTCTCATATTCACATTTAAAGGTTTAGTACTCCCTCATGATGGTGTCAGCCGCTGATATCATGTGGTTGAGGGGGAAGGCCCAAGGGTCACAATCCCCCCACCCCTTGAGACATGTGGCCCTGAGAAACTGGCTTGGGGTTTGGGTCTTCAGTCATTCCTTTTTGGTTCTAGCTGCAGGGACTGTAGTCTCTAACCCAGGAGCTCAAGTCATGGGGATCTCAGAGTCCAAGATTCTAGGCCAGATGTCACAGCCTGACCAGTAGGGAATCCTGGAGGAACAAGGGTCCATAATGCTAGCCCATAAAGCTAATGGGGCTTTGGGCTTGAATTTGATGGAACTAATATAGGAACTGAGCTAAGTTGTGAGTCTAATGCCTCTCTAGGAGGTGGTAGGAGTGGGAGGGGCTATACCCCCAAAGTGTTAAGGGAAAGTTTTTATGTTTGTTCTTGTTAATCTTTGAAGTATATCACTTTGTAAAAGCTCATCTGCTGTTAAGTGGTTAAATGGAACTGGGGTGCTAGTTAATGGGCCACTAGAAATGGGGGGAACACAATCAGTGAAGGCTTGAACCAATGGCAGAGAGGCAAGACAGACCCCTCAACCCCCTCTGGGTACTGGACCTCCAGAAGAGGGGTGTAGGGAAGAGGAGTGTAGGGAGCAGTAAAACAGAATGGATCTGAATCCTGAGAAAGGAGGATCAAAGAAATCGTTAAATAGAATCTGATGTATTATTATGATTTATGATCTGATTTATTGTTGTTGTTGTTATTGTTGTTATCTGATTTATTATGAGGGAGGGACTTCAGAGGTCTTCTGGTCCAACCTCCTCATGTTGCAGGTGAGGAAAACTAAGACTTAAGGAATTTAAGTGACTTGCCCAAGATGACACAAGTAGAAAGAAGCAGAGCTAAAAGAAAGTGTGTCATGGCTTCAAGATCTCTAAGACACTGTGACTCTACATATCTATTCCCTTACTAGATTGTGATCTCCTAGAAGTCAGGACAGCTAGGTGGCACCATAGTGCACAGAATGTCAGGCCTGGAATCAGGAAGACTTATCTTCATGAGTTCAAATCTGGCCTCTGACACTTCCTAGGCACCCCTCCCCCCAAACGAAAAGGTCACTTAACCCTGTTTGCCTCAGTTTCTTCATCTGCAAAATGAACTGGAGAAGGAAATGGCAAACCACCCCAGAATCTTTGCCAACAAAACCCCTAATGGGGTCAAGAAAAGTCAGACATGACTGAAATGGGCTGAACAAGAAACAAATCAGAGATTGTGTCATTTTAAAAGTCTCTATCTCCCAAGAATATAGGGCCTTACACATTGTAGCTACTTAAGTGTTTATTGAATGGAATTGAATTGAAAAAGGGGGAAAGCAAAAATGATGGGGGGGAGAGGAGAAAATGAGATGAAAATAGAAGAGAAGACTAGAGATTGTTGCAGTATGCAGACCCCTCTCCAGGGTTTGAAGGTTCCTTAATTTGCTTGCTGTGGTAAGATCAAACTTTATCTGGGTCTAGGCCATGTAGAATAGGCTAGTTCTTTCTCTAAAAAACATGGAAGTTGTTTCAGAGACTTGATTGGTCCAGGGGCTAACCCTCAAGCCACTTCACCACCGACAAGGCTGGTAGGTTACCTATGGGAAAAAAGAGGCCCATTTACGTAGATAGAAAAGTCACCACTTCTTGTCCTGCTGACCAGGTGTTTCTAAATGGAGACATTCTATTGTGGACAAGTGGTATATCCTTGTGAAGAATCCTTTCCATTCTATGGTTAAATAAGCATCTTTTATTTAACTGCTAAATACTACACAAATATCTCATTTCATTCCAGTCCTGGACCTGAACTTCATACTAGCCTGTGCACCAAACCTATCCTTTCTTTCTGTTAGGGGTGCTGCCATCCTTCTAGTCACATAGGTTTACAACCTGAGTAATTCTTGATTCCTCCCCACCTCTCATAGGGATTCATCACATTAATCCCTTTCTTTATGGCCAAACTACCCTAACTGCTATCCCTTAAACTTGATATTCCACTTACCCCTCCTCTGTGGATTGTACTTCTTCCTTAATAATACCTCGTTTCCTTCAGGGTTCAACTCAAGTTTCACCCTCTTTATGAAACCTTTCCTGATCCCCCTAGTTGATAGCACCCTCTCCCTCCTCAAATCATAGTCTATTTACTTACCTATATAAATGTTATATTCCTTTCCTTTTATCCTTCCCCAGGAGAATGAAATTCTTTGAGGACAGGAATTGCTTTTTCTATTGTCTTTCTTTCCCTAGGCCCTAGAACACTTGTTTTTCACTTAGAAGGTGCTTTGTGAACAGAACAGAATAGATTACAATCAGATGAACCACTATTTTTTTTTGTTTTGTTTTTGTTGTCCAGATAATTTATCTACGAGCATTTATTTCAATATCTGTCTATTACCGGGTACTGACCTAGGTTTTGGGAACCAGAGTAACTAAGTGTTGAGAGACTGCTCATCAATTAAACCTCAGTCACAGTTCATAGAAGTGTTAAGGTATGGAAATGCTGAGATTTAATGGTGAGGTTTGGCAAGGACTTCCTGCCTCTGCCTCCAGGATAAGCCCTCTGAATTCCAGTTCCCTCAGATACATTAATGCTAAAAACAAAACCAAACAACCAACCAAACAAAAAATCTCAGCGCCAAAAACAAAACTCAGAGACAAAAGCAAAAGCCAATAATAATTTCTTGTATTAGTACACAGATCAGACAAAGCACTCCCATACTCTAGGTACCTGTGGACTCCCTCATCAAAGTAGGAGCACAATTTTACCCCTAAAAAAAGTTTATTTCAGTTCATTGAGGTAATTATAGTGAAATAAGGTCATTGTTAAAAACTCCCACCTGCAATCTCCGGAATGGCAGCTGGTTCCAGCCGAGCTTGGGGCCCCAGAACAAGGATGCAAACTCATAGAAAGTAGGAACTCGTACAGAATGGCAGACCTGGAAGAAGCCCTTAGAGATCGGCTTCTCCAACCCTCTTCCTTTAATTGAGGAGACAGGTCTGAAAAGTGACTTGGTTTGCTGCAGGTTGGCCAGCCCATGATCAAGTCCTCTCTGTGTACCAAGGCGCGGAGCTGTCCCACCTCCATTCCACCTCTCCCTGCTGTCACTCAAGCTTAGAGCGAGCATCTCAGTGTAGGGTGAGGTTCTAAAGCCTTCGCCCGAGCTTCCTGGGCAGCTGCGGGAGCCGGCCCCGCCCCCGCCTCCGCCTCCGGCCCCGCCCCGACAGGTGTGCACAGATCTTAAAAGGACGGGGCTGCCTACCAGTGCCCAGGGTTTGTAAACTGGTCTTCCCCATGCCCCAGCCGGAGACCACAGGCTGGCTCTCAAGTTAGCTTATCCTGCTCACCTTCCCTAACAGCCATGGGCAACAGGATCACCCGGGGAAACTTCGAATGGGTTTACACTGAGCAGCCCCACACCCAGCGACGCAAGGAGATCTTGGGTAGGTACCTGGCGGGCCAAGGAGGGTGTCCCATGCTGGGCCAAGGTCCGGGGAGGAGAGGGAAGTAGGGGACAGATACGTCGAGTGGAATGTTCCACAGGTCCCCAGGGTAAAAAGCCTTGGTGGGGTCGGGGGATAGTAGTGGCAGGACGCTGGTGATGCCACCAAGAGATATTTGGTGGGTGGGCAGAGAGTTGGGTAGGTGAAGACCTAGAGCCTGGAGCGGTGTCCGGATGGGCCTGGATTGGGCAAGTTTTTACTGCGCGGTTTCGGTTGCTCATTTCTCTCAACCTCGGTTTCCCTATCTGTAAAATGAAAGGGTGGGACTAAATGAATTCTAGGGTCCCTTCTAACTAAGGATCCTTAACCGAAGTCTCTAGCTTGGACTTTGGTCCTTCATTCCTCCCTTACCATCGGCTGTAGAATCTCTCTGTCTCGCTGTCTCTCTCTCTCTACTCTGTCTCTGTCTCTCTGTCTCTGTGTGTGTGTGTGTCTCTGTCTCCCTCCCTCTCCTCCTCCTCCTCCTCCTCTCCCCTCTCCCCTCTCCTCTCTCTCTCTCTCTCTTCTCTTTCACCCCTCTCACCGTGGGACGGGACTGGATGGAAGGTGAGGGGAGCTAAAGGCAGAGTCCTGGTCATCCTTTCTCCTTTCCCTTCCCTTCCCCACCCCAACTGCTGAGCTGATACCGGCTGGCAGTCACTGGGTCGGTCATCCTTGTCCACCACCCTTTTCACTGAGCGGAGACAGCAACCAGGAGCCCTACTGTCTCCCTCCGGGTCTTTGGACCTTGGGGCACAGGAGGGTAGGGAAGGACAGGAGTGGCCTGGTCAGCTCCGATTTTCACCACCACCCAGGGCTTAGGAGCCAGGAATTAGCCAGTCCTGCCCAGGAGACTAGGGAAGTGACTAGTCATTCGTGTGTCCCAAGACAAGAGCTGTACCCCAGTGACTTTTTCTATTTCTATTCTCTTTGTCTCTTGTTGGGGTCAGGGGGAGGGTTTGGGGTCCGCTGTGGAGAGGTCTAGGTAGCATCTCTGTGCTTATTAGGATTTGAAGGTTAGGGCCCCTGACTCAGTGTGTTTTGTTAGGGCTATGGTGGAGGGTGGTGGCGTTGAATAGGCTGTGTGGGTTCAGGACAATGTTCTTATGTGTTTGTGTTTTTATGTGTGGGTGCATTTGAAAGGGCTGTGTGGGTCTGTCTCTGGTGTGTAGGGGTGGGAACAAGGCACCAGGTGGGTCTCCGTTTTTTAATAACAGTGTGTAGAGTGGTCTGGGGGAGCTATGTGTGTTTCTTTCCCCTGTCCCTTCTCTTCTTTGCCACCTTCCTGCCTCCTACTGCACCAAATTCACTCTGCTCTGTAAACACATGGTAGAACAATGACCAGAAATTGGCACGAATAGGAAAACTTAAAACACATCCTTATTATTTTAAAAAATTTTTTGAAAGGTTTTCATGGGTGTGTTTTCTTGGAGAGGGTAAGGAAGTACAGCCTCTAGGATATTTTTATCTCTAACATTTGAAGAAATTGTCTAGAGCTGACTTAAAGCCACACTTTGGGACCCTTTGTCTCCTCTGCTTGCCAATACAGTTAAAAGAAGAAATCTTTTCATAAGATGCCCAAGAATTGATATTTAGGTGATATGACGTGAGTTCTACTGCATGTGAATTTTGTGAAAACATTGTTTCTTTGTAACTGTTGCCTTCAAACAAAACCATAGAGTTTTATATTTAGAGTTCTTGGTAGTCTTTTGATCTCATTTTGTGTGTTTATTTTAATTATATAATAATGGTGCCTGATATATGGCTTTAAGGTTTATAAAATGCTTCCTCTTAGCAACTCTATGAGGTAGATGATAGGGCAGATATACTTATCTCCATCTTACAGAAGAAGAAACAGGGTTTCAGAAAAGTTCAATACTCTTTTACTCACAATTACGCATTTAGTAAGCATCAGAGGTAGGGTAAAGGTTTCCTGACTCCTACTCCAGTATTTCTAGGATACCACTTATAAGTCTTTTCAAGTTAAGTTTTTTTGCTAAATGAACAAAATCAATTTTCTTTCCCTTCCCCCATCAACCACTGAAAAAACAAAAACCTCTTGTAACAAATATGCAAAATCAAGCAAAACAAATTCCTGGATCGATCATATCCAGAACCACCTGTCTTATTCTGTATCCTGAATCTATTTACCTTTCTGTTAGAAGAGAGGTAGCCTGCTTCACCTTTGGTCCACTGGTGTCATGGTCGGTCATGATGTTGATCAGAATTCTTAAGTCTCTTGAAGTTTGTTTTTACAGTGTTTTTGTTATTATACAAATTGTTCTCACTTCATTCTCTATCATCTCTCATGTCTTCCCATGTTTCATTTAATTTGTCCCTTTCATCATTTCCGTTACATTCATCTATCATAATTTGTTCAGCCATTGCCCAGTTGATGGGGACCCCTTAGTTTCCAATTCTTTGCTACTACAGGAAGACCTGTTACAAATATTTTTGTACATATAAGTCGTTTCCCTCTTTCTTTGATCTCTTTGAGGTATAGGCCTAGTAGCAATTACTGGAAAGGGCAGCTAGATGGTGCTGTGGATAGAGTGCCAGGCCTGGAGTCAGGAAGACTCATCAGCCTCAGACACTTACTAGCAGTGTGACTCTGGGCAAGTCACTTAATCTTGTTTGCCTCAGTTTCCTCATCTGTAAAATGAAGAAGCTGCAGTACCTTTGCCAAGAGAACCCCAAATGGGGTCATGAAGAGTTGGAAACAACTAAACAACAAGAAGTATTCCTGGGACAAAGGTAGTTTAGTGACTCTTTGGGTATCGTTCCAAATTATTTTCCAGAATGGCTGTATCAACTCATAGCTCTGTTTTCCAGCAACCCCTTGAACATGTGTCATTTCCTTTCTTGTCAACTTTGTCAATCTGATGTGTGTAAGGTGGAACTGCATTTCTCTAATATTAGTGATTTAAAACATTTTTATATAACTATTGATAGCTTGGATTTTCTCCTTTATAAAGTGTTCATGTCTCTTTGTCATAAATTTATAATTTGAGGAATGGCTATCTTTAAGTACCAACTAAAATCTCACCCTTTACAAGAAGCCTTCCTCAGTCCCTCTTAATTCCAGTGCCTTCCCTTTGTTAATTATCTCCCATTTGCCCTGCACATAGCTTGCTTTTTATATATGTTTGCATGATGTCTCTCTAATTAGTTTATAAGTTCCTTGAGGGCGGAGATTGTCTTTTGACTCTTGCATCACCAGAGCCTAGTCCAGTGCGTGGCACATACTAGGTGCTTACTAAATGTTTGTTGATTGCTTCTTATACATTTTAATCAGTTCCGTGTATATCTTGGAAATAAGATCTTCACGAGTCAAAGTTGCTGCAAATATTTTTTTCATAGTTAACTGCTTCCCTTCCAATTTTAGCATTGGTTCATTTATGCAGGAACTTTTTAATTTTATGTAATCAAAATTATTGACTTTATTTTCTGTGGTTCTCTCTCCCCCTTGTTTGATTATGAACTCTTCCCCCACCTTTAGATTAAAAAGGTAATTTCTTCCTTTCACTTCTATTTTGTTTATGGTATCACCTTTTATGTCTAATTCACGTACCCTTTTGGAGCTTATCTGACACCATTTAAAAAGTAACACACATCTGTGTGCTGTGTTCCCTTCTCTACCAGACTGTGCTTTTCTCTTCCATTCCATTTATTTTTTTCACTTAGCAAAAGCAGTAAGCACTTAATATTTGTAAGACTCTGTGCTTCAGATGATAGAAAGATACATAAGATTAGGTTTCTGTTCTCATGAAGATCGCAGTCCAGTAAGGGAGACAAGATATCCTGAAATATAAAGCAAAAATAGAACAGTTGTGCAGAACATGGGCATGGACTATGTATTCTGAGAGTTCAGAGGAGAGATAGATGACTTCTGGCTGGGGGAACTAGAATGGAGGAGGAGGTATTTGAGCCATTCTGGAAGGATGGGAAGGATTTCAAGCATTTTAAGTATAGGGGATAGCATGAGCAAAGACATAGGAGAGCATGGGATGAGTTTGCAGGGTAGCTACTAGATTAATTTACCTGAAGTAGAGAGGATATGAAGGTAGAAAAGTGAAGCAAGCCTAGTTGAATCAGATTGTGGAGCCAGAGGGGGCTTCAATACTGGAATAAAGTATTTGTACTCAGGAGGCAGTAATCACTGGTAGGTTTTGAGGAGGGTGTGACATAGTCAACTGTATTTTAGGAATCTGGCTGTAGTAGTACGGGTAGGATAGATTTGGGAATGGGATAAGGAGAGACTTGAGGCAGGGAGGCTGGATAATAAACTATTATAATAATTCTGATGTTAGTTGATGAAAGCTTGACCTTGGGTGGTGGTAGGGAGAATAAAAGAGAGGCAGTGTAATGTGGTAGAACACTGGGTTGGAATTCTAGAGGTCCCTCGAGACTAGGGTTTTAATTGTAGCTTGGCCTCCAACTTGTGTTGGGTAAGTAATTTCCCTCTCTGAACTTCAGTTCCCTTATCCTTTATATGAGGACGCAAGTCTAGGCCAGTGTTCCCCAAACTTGATTGCACAGAGACCTGCTGTTCAGTATGAATTAAGTAGGATTTCCATGAGAACATTCAAATGCTGGCACTATTTTCTATCCTTAAATATGAAATTATGTAAGATTATGTCATGCCTAATATTAATTGACTCTATAATATTTGATGAAGTGATAGTACAGGAGGTAGTATTCTCCATACGAGCAAGGCTATAAATTGGCCAAATGGTATTAATTCAATTCAAAACATAATTTATTCGGCTTGGGTATTTGGGACTTTAAGGTGACTTTGGTTATTTGTTAGGGCAACCTTATATGGGAATATTTTTCTAATAATCATATCAAAAATACTTATGCAGGCCTTTTTTTTTTAATAAAAGAGGTTTATTTTCTTTCCATTTTTTGTTCCAGATTTTCCATTTTATTTTACACAGGTGATTCCATAACCATATAGC